GATTTTTTTTTTTTTTTTTTTTTTTGTCTCTGCTGCTGCCTGATTGTGTACATCCGGTTCCAAATGATGTGTCTGGTTGACCAGTCAGTTTGTAACTCAAGTGTTCATAACTCTGAGGTTCTACTATAACTGATTTTAATTAAAAGGACAAATACAGCATATTTAGGACCATTATTAAATCATTTAACTCACTTCATCAGAGGTAACTAAACCATTCCCTGGCTAAGAAAGATTCCCCCCCTCCCAAAAAAGGAATAAGATCTTTGTGTTATTTATCCACTCTCCTTTGTCCTTTTATAGAATTGTTGCCGGCATTCCTTTTAAACTTACAAAAACCTTCCTGCAGTTACCAGTTAGTACCAGTTTTCTAACATTCATTATGAATTTCAATTGGTGTTTTGTGGTTAAATATTCCTGAAATATTATATATGCTATTTTTAGTTTTTATTTTTCTAGTAGTACCTCTCCTAGTTTTTTTCTTTAGATAGCTTCCCTCAGTGGTCAGGCCATTGCTGAATTCAACAATGTTTGCTATGGGAATGATTAAAGTGGTAAACCACTGATATGTAATTTAGCAAAAACTAAAAAAGTCATCTGATATTTCATTTTCTCATAGCTAGAGTAAGAGCATTTAACTAGCATAAAATGAAGCACAACTACATGAATCTTGCTTGGAGTACTAAGATATCTGAAATTCTCCTACCCAAAGCTGCTGTACGAGCCAGGTTTAAAATAAGTTTTCATAAAAGCTATTAAAAAATTAATGATGTCAACACAAACACTATGCTTGCAAACACAGGGAAACTTTACCAAATTTTCAGGTCACAGGGGATAAAGTTTCTGTCCTGCAAAGATGTATGCACTCTCTCTAATCAGATCAATGTTATTCTGGGGATCCTCCTGAGCACAAACTGCTAGTTCAAGTGCTTGCTGATGTTGATTCCATTCTAGGTGCCTGCGCACCCATGGGCACAGTTGTCGGAATTTTTTGCCTTTAGCGGTATCTGTAGAGCCGGCTGTGGCGCCCTCTGGAGTGCTGCACTCATGCACTGGTATATGAGGCACCACCGGCCCTACACCCTCTCAGTTCTTTCTTACCACCGGTGACAGTTGGATGGAGCGCCTTCATCTTGCTTTGCAAGTGCGATAGCAGTTCTTACAGACTGCTGACCGTCTTCTTTGTTACATATAGTTGTCAGATAGTTTAGTTAGAGTCCCGACAGGGACTTTGCCCTGGGGCAGGGCATACCCCGTTCCCCAGACTTCAAACCGTGTTCATCATGAAACAGGCCAATGTGTGTGACACCCACAGCAGCTGCTTGAAGTGCTTGGGAGAGTCACACATAAACGAGAAGTGCAGAATTTGTAAAAACATTAATTCCAGGACTCAAAGAGTGGGATATCTGCCTAAAGGCCCTCCTCATGGAGGCTGCGCTTCGCCCAGCATTGGAGCCTTCCAATCTGATTCTGCGCCCTTCATCATGGAAGAGGCATTCCAATGCCAGCCCAATGAAACTCTTGGGGCATACCAATGATATCAGTGCCATACTCTCACCACTCCTCCCTGGCTGCTGCAGATAAGCCACCTCATGCCAGTGCCGGGCTCAGAGCACAGTGCAGACTCCAGCACAGAGTTAAGAGAGCAGGTGTGGATTCCTAGGTTGCCATCCCCAGAAGGGAAAGGTGCCCCGCCTCCTCCCCCCCCACGATGCCTTCATCATCTTCGTCACCGGATGAGATGGTGGCGAGCCCGTCCCATGCTAGCCCTCCCAATGACTAAGGAGCACCAGGCTCTCCTCAAAAAGATGGCTTCCATCCTAAACCTGGAAGTCGAGGAGCTGGCAGAGCAGTTGGACGCTCTCTTTGATGTGCTATCGGCTGTTATCCCAGCATGGGTTGTGCTGCCAGTCCATCAAGGGGTTCTCAAGATTGCTAAAGGGCTATGACAAACCCCCTCATCCATTCCACCCACTTCCAAATGGGCGGAAAAGTAGTATTATGTCCCTGCAAAGGGGTTTGAGTACCTGTATACCCACCCGCCCCCTGGGTCGCTCGTTGTATCAAGGAAAGGGACATGCCTAAGAAGAAGGATGCCAAGAGACTGGACCTTTTTGGCAGCTGCCACTCTGGCTCTACCTGCTATCCCAGAACCACAGCAGGCTTCTGCACCTGAATCTAGCCGTGCTGCACCTGACGGCTTGGTTGCTACATGGCTGAATGCAGAGGAACAGGAATGTTTGGCCCATGTCCAACTGGTTCTGTTGGGCAGCAGGAAGCACCTCCACCAGGGCAACCTACCTGGCAAATGGAAACGGTTTATGTGTTGGGCCTTGAACCACGGTCTTCACTGCAGTTGATCCTAGATTACCTTCTGCATCTCAAGCTCCAGGGCCTGTCTCTTTCGTCAATCAAGGTCCACTTGGCAGCCATTTCGGCCTTCCACCCTCCGTTTCAGGGCAAGTCAGTCTTTGCTCACGACATGATGGTCCGGTTTCTAAAAGGTCTGAAGCGGCTCTACCCGCAGGTCCATGACTCCATCCCTCCTTGAGACCTGAACCTTGTGCTGTCAAGGCTCACGGAGCCCCACTTTGAGCTCCTTGTTCCCTTCTTCTGCTCTCTTGGATGTTATTGCCTGGTCGCAATAACATCAGCCCATAGGGTCTCTGAGATTAGAGCACTTACCTCAGAGCTGCCCTACACGGTGTTCTACAAGGACAAGGTTCAGCTGCGGCCACACCCAGATTTCCTGCCCAATGTAGTTTCGCAGTTTCATACCAACCAGGATATACTTGGAAAACTTCCTGGTTTTCTTTCCAAAACCTCATAAGTCATATGAGGAGTGGAGATTACACTCTCTGGACATCAAGAGAGCACTAGCCTTTTACCTCAAAAGGACTAAGCCATTCCGTAAGTCGACGCAGCTATTCGTTGTGGCGGCAGACAGAATGAAGGGCCTTCCTGTATCTGCCCAGAGAATTTCATTATGGATCACCGCCTGCATCCATTTTTGCTATGAACAGGCGAAAGTGCCACCACCGGCGACTGTAGCAGCCGATTCAACCAGAGCGCAAGCTCATCGGCAGTCTTCCTGGCCCAGGTGCCGATTCTGGACACCTGCAGGGCCGCTACCTGGTCATCCATCCATACATTCATGTCCCATTATGCAATCACCCAGCAAGTCCGGGACAATGCTGGCTTCAGTAGAGCAGTGTTGCAATCGCACGACCATAAACTCCGAGCCCACCTCCAGGGATACTGCTTGTGAGTCACCTAGAATGGAATCAACATGAGCAAGCACTCAAAGAAAAAAAACGGTTACCTACCTTTCGTAACTGTTGTTCTTTAAGAGGTATTGTTCATGTCCATTCCTTTACCCACCCTTCTACCCCTCTGTCGGAGTTGCCAGCAAGAAGGAACTGGGAAGGCATAGGGCCAGTGGCGCCTCATATACCAGCGCATGAGTGTGGAGATCCAGAGGATGCCACAGCTGGTCCTACGGATACCGCTAAGGCAAAACATTCCGACAACCGTGCACGTGGGCGTGCACATATCTAGAATGGAATGGACATGAGCAACACATCCCAAAGAACAACAGTTACGAAAGGTAGGTAACTGTTTTTTGTGCCAAACTAAGTACACCAACTCTGGTTATGCACACACCTACCAGACAGTAAGATGAATACGATACAACTGCTAAAGCTTACCTGTACTGAAATAAAGTATCGAAGAACCATAGGTATAAACATTTTGGCACACAGTTAGATTGTAAACACTTCAGAACAGTGACTATGTTTTTGTCTATGTTCGTACAGCATCTTGCACAATGGGGCCTTGATTCTCATTAGAATCTCTGGGCACTATTACAACATAAATATTACATAACGGACATCAAAACCATTTTTCAAACTGGATAACTGCAACTGAGAACAAAAAATGGCATCACCAGTGCCCCCTCCTCTTCCCGTGGTGGGTAGACAGGGCGAGCTATTTGTTCGTTTTCTCCAAACACCACATCTCTCAGTTGGCCATTTGATAGAAACACATGCTTCATTTGCACTTCTTCTTTAACACTTGTGACAGACCCAGACCAGTGGGGTACAGGAGTCTGGTAGAGGGCAAATACACTGGTCACTGGATGAGTAGTTTTCTGTTCCCTGAGTGACCAGAGAAGGGGCTGCACTAGAGTAATCAGGAACCTGCTAGAACCAGTTAAGGCAGGCAGGCTAATTAGGACACCTGGAGCCAATTAAGAAGAAGCTGCTAGAATCAATTAAGGCAGGCTAATCAGGGCACTTGGGTTTTAAAAGGAGCTCACTTCAGTTTGTGGAGCGAGTGTGAGGAGCTGGGAGCAAGAGGCGCAAGGTGCTGAGAGTGAGAGAGTGTGCTGCTGGAGGACTGAGGAGCACAAGCGTTATCAGACACCAGGAGGAAGGTCCTGTGGTGACAATAAGGAAGGTGTTTGGAGGAGGCCATGGGGAAGTAGCCCAGGGAGTTGTAGCTGTCATGCAGCTGTTACAGGAGGCACTGTAGACAGCTGCAGTCCACAGGGCCCTGGGCTGGAACCCGGAGTAGAGGGCGGGCCCGGGTTCCCCCCAAACCTCCCAATTGACCTGGACTGTGGGTTCTCCCAGAGGGGAAGGTCTCTGGGCTGTTCCCCAACCCACATGGTGAATCTCTGAGGCAAGAAAATCCGCCAATAAGCGCAGGACCCACCAAGATAGAGGAGGAACTTTGTCACACACTGAAGGGAGATGTCATTGGGCTGCTTCCCCCGTGACCATCATGCATATCACTGATGTTAATAATGTCATGAAAATGCACTCAAGTAAAAGTGAGAGAAATAGAAACTTCAAAAGGAAAGATAGTTTAATTTATAATGGCAACAAGGAGACTTTGCCATGGACTGAAAGTTGCTATCAAGGACAAAAATATTGAAGAAAATATTGAGGACCTTATTACTTAATCATCACAACTGATTATATATATAAAAAATGCACTCACCTCTTTAGACCTTTTCCTTTCTTGCTCCATTTCATACTCTTCCTTAGACTTCCTGTAAAATAAAAAAATTGAGTAAATATGCAAGAGTCCTGCATATAAAAGTGATTCATATTGATTTAGCACTGCTTAAACGCTCAAGGGACAATCTAATTATAACAGTGATAAACCACCAAAGCCTCCAAAATCTTTGATGACTTCAATTAAAAGCAGGGGTCGGCAACGTTCAGCATGCAGCCCATCAGGGTAATCCACTGGCGGATCATGAGACGTTTTGTTCACGTTGACCGTTCGCAGGCATGGCCCCCCGCAGCTCCCATTGGCCGGGAATGGCGAACCGTGGCCACTGGGAGCTGCGGGGGGGCCATGCCTGTGGACGGTCAATGTAAACAAAACGTCCCGTGGCCCGCCAGTGGATTACCCTGATGGGCCGCATGCCAAATGTTGCCGAACCCTGATTAAAAGGGTACTCTCAATAGAAATAGAGAGCTATGACAGACAGACAGACATCCTGAGAAAGTATAGGCCCCATTCTCCTCTGTGCAGAACTAATCTGCATAGGAGAGTTTCCTGGGAATTACTCCTTTGGGTGGTAGATTCCCCCAGCATACTACCCATGCAAGAAGATGGGGGTTCCACTCCTTTTAGTCACAGATAACCTGAGATCCACACAAAAGACAAGGGGCCTCTCAAAAAATATACATTGCCTCTTGCCTCCATCTGCTTACAGGCACTACCTGCTCTCTTTTGCAATCATGGATGCCCTTCACCACTTTCTGAAGGACAGAAGGTAGGGAGTTTCCACAACACAGAGGGGAAACATCATATAGTAATACAGCCTCAGACTAGTTGTGCTGGTTTTTGCTGATCCAGTTGCTTGCCACTTTTTTTTTTTTGGAGGGAGCATGATCTAGAGGAGCCATACCAGCTCTCCCATGCCAACTCAACTGAGCTGGAGCTCTGCAAGAGCCCCTGCACAGGAGCTACAATAAGTTGTGGGAAAGAGGAACGCATGGTGCAAAAACAGAACTCAGATCATCTAAGGGATCAGTATCCCATCCAAACATGGACACAGAGAGGAGCATGGTATTCTCTCGATGCAAAGGAGCCATAATGCCGCTCTAACAAGGCAGCTCAGAATTGTCCTAACAATTGGGAGTTAAGGGAGTTAACTGTTAAGCAAGTGCCCAGAAGAAGAGGGCATAGCAAGAGTGCTCCTATATTCTGGCAATCCCTTGATGATGGAAGATGCCTTACTAGCTAGTGCAAGCTAAAGACACGTGGCTCAGGAGGCTGGGATGGAATGGGATGGGAAGGGGGAGGAATATTAAAGTGGCACACCATTTGGTACCACTAAAGTAGATTAGCCAGAGCTAAGGATTCAACCCTTAGCCTCTAGAAACATCTGTGGGTTTTTCCCCCCCCACTAGCAACTAGTATTTACATCCTCTCATGATTAGGCCTTTAACAAGAAAGAACAGTTACTTACTCTTCAGTAACTGTGGTTTTTCAAGATGTAGTGAGTGTGGATCCTGCTGTAAGTGCACATGCACCCGAAATTGAAATCTTTTGCACAGCAGTGTCTAGTGGGGCCGCACATGTGTCTTGTGCCTCCCCTCATGCCCCTGGATGAATGCATAAAGGGCAGCATGGTCCCAGCCCTGCCTCAGTTCCCTTGCAACTCAAAGCCCATCATAGCAGAGGACTTCAAAAACAGGAAAGGAGGGCAGGTCGTGGGATCCATACTGAGTAAAACATCTTGAAGAACCATAGTTATTGTAGGTAAATAACTGTTCTTTCATTGAGTATGTGTCAGTGTGGATTTCACTGTAGATGACTGGCAAGCAGTATCCTCCTCAGGAGGTGGGCAGAAGAGTCAGCAGCATCAGTTGAATAGAGATGGAAGTTCAGTTCTCCTGAACTTTGCATCTGCTCTGGCAGCCAAACCCAGTGCGTAATGCTTGACAAACATGATCAAACTGCTCCATCTAGCAGTGTCACGTGGCCTGTATACCCTGTCACCCTTTGGGATGGGGAAATGGGCACTCGTGCCCCATGTGTCATTTCACTATGGCTGCCTTTAACCTCTCGGCTGCACGGCTTAGTGGCCAGAATTAATATGGCTGCCCTTAGACTCAGGGCTGTGAGGCCTAAAGGCCAGAGTCAATATGACTGCCCTTAACCTCAGGGCTGCATGACCTAGCAGCCGGAGTCAACGTGGCTGTCCTTGGCCTCAGGGCTGTGTGGCCTGGTGGCTGGAGTCAACATGGCTGCCCTTGGCCTCAGGGCTGCGTGGCCTAGTGACCTGAGTCAATATGACTTGGGTGGGGCCCCTGGCCTGCAGTCTGGACAGAGCAATAATCGGTCTAGGAAGATCTGCTCTCTGGCAGAGCAGACAGCAAACAGTCTATCGTCCCAGCTCTGGCGGATGGCCAACAAATGCAGTCGTCTTGGCCTCAGATGGGGGAACTGCCACCCAAGGGTGGGGTGATGGGGTAGAGGGACGCGGGCCCACCTGACTTCACCGCATTCAAGCCCACAGCCCTGATCGTGGCAAGTGGGTTCACCACTGAGTCAGTGGCGGGGTCTGACCGAAACACACCGACTGCTGTGGAGACAATGGCTAGTCCCCCCCGCCCCTAGCTACTTTCTATCATGATTCCTGTCATCCGTGGTCTGGGTGTCAGTGTCTCTGGTTTCCACAGGCTGCACTGCTCCCAGCAACTGCAACCTCCCTGGGGCATCCACCAACACTTGGGTGTCAGTCTGAAGCTCGGCACCTCTGGCTCCTGTGGTCGAGGATTCCTGCTGCTCCTGACAGGAATGACAGTTTCATAAAATGATCGCTTCTTTGCATAGGGCAGAAGAGCATGCTCCCCCTTTGCTTGTTTATTTGGTGGATAGTGGACATATTGTCTGTCAGTATCTGCACAAAGGTTTGCAGGATCAGGATGAATACCATGCATGCCAGTTTGATGAACTCTAAAATGTTTATATATAGTTTCCTATCTTTCAAGGGAAGGTCCCTTGAATTTGCAGGTGGTTCAAGTGGGCTACCCTGTATCAGATGCATCTGTGACAAATGTTCTGGATGGTGACAGGGTCATGAATGAATGACAATCCAGCATAAATGTCAATTTCATTGAGCAGCTGCTGTGGATCAGAGAGCAAACTTCCTTTTGCAAACACTATCTTTCCGTGTTTCCAAAACGAAAAATTTCAAAACCCCCAGTTCATGAGAAATTTTTACAAAATTTGGTTTCAGTCCTATTTAGACTGAAACCAAATTTCAAAATGTCAAAATTTCCTGTAAACCAGAAATTCTGAATTTCAACCAGCTCTAGCAACAAAGCCACTTCTGTTTGTAAAAGGCTTTCACGAGAAGGGCTCCTGAAAAGGGATAGGGAAGGAAGGCAGGTAGGGAGTGAGGAAGTCAACTGAATGGTGCAGCTGTGAGTAATGATGTCCAAAACCCATTTATCAGCTGTAATGTCCAGCCATGCCTGGAGTAAGCAGTGAAGCAGTTTTCAAGTATAAGCTCTGGAGTGGTCTTGGTATCGCTCTCGACCATTTCATCAAACCTGCTGTCTCTGGAAGGCAGGCTGGTGCGAGATGGAGGAGGAAAACAACAGGCAACTCCACAAGTATCAGTGTTGCTTTCTAGGTGAATACTTGGGCTGGCGACTGTGACAGAACAATAGCATTCTCTGCCTCGGGGGTGGTTGCAGAAAGGTTCATGGTACAGTCCCAGAGCATAAATGCCCAGGGATCTGAGTGTTGCCTTGGAATCTCTGAGGGAATGTCTGTCACACTTCATCTGTTCTTGTACTAAATAGATCCATACCCTCAAAGCGTAAGTCCTCAGTTGTGGCTTGGACTTCTCTTGGTATCCCGGACACCTAAAGCCAGAAGGCCCAATACATGGTGACTGCCGTGGCCATCAAGTGAGTGTCTGTATCAGATTCATGTACTGCCCCTGGTAGCGCAGTTCTAGCTACCATTTGGTCCTCTTTGATTATGTCTCTCAGCTCCTCCCTGCCATCTTGTGGGAGTCAAGATAGAAAGGGGATCACCCTCTCCCACATCAGGAAGTAGTATTTCGTGAACAGTACATGATAGATCATGATGTGAAACTGCTGGGATGTGCTGAGGAGTAGGCCTTTAGGCTGAAAATGTCCAGCTTCTTGGGGTCTTTATCTTTAGGAGTTTCTTTGTTTGATCTGCTTTTCTCCTTAATGATGGAGACAATGAGTGATCCTGGTAATAAATGTGTGTAGAATCACTCAAAGCCTTTGGGTGGACCCTGTTACTGTTTTTTCACTTGCTCTGAAGTCAAGGGAAGCAAGGCCAGGGTGTGCCACAGATACTGTGCTGTATTTTGGGTTCTCTCATTGATCAGGAGAGCAATTCTTGCAGGCACTGAGGATGTCAAACAAATTGAATCACCTTTGTTTCGATGTCCCTTCTATAGGACAGTTACCTGTTCCGTAACTGACATTCTTCGAGATGTGTTGCTCCTGTCTATTCCACAGTAGGTGTGCGTGGTCACCAAATGCACCGGTGCCAGAAGTTTTTCCCTTAGCAGCATCCATAGTGGGGGAGCACCGCCGCGACCCCTGGAGTGGCGCCGACATATCGTGCTATAAAGGGGGCTGCGTGCTCCCCCCACCCTCAGTTCCTTCTTGCCAGACAACTCCGACAGAGGGGAAGGAGGGTGGGATGTGGAATAGACAGGAGCAACACATCTCGAAGAACGCCAATTACGGAACAGGTAACTGTCCTTTCTTCTTCGAGTGATTGCTCCTGTGTATTCCACAGTAGGTGACTCCAAGCTATACCTGATGGAGGTGGGTAGGAGTTCTAAATGATAAAGGTTAAGGGTTACCCAGGCAGAGCACCGCCCTACCAAACCTGGTGTCGTCCCTTGCTTGGGAGACGATCGCATAGTGCGATGCAAAAGTATGTACAGAGGACCATGTAGCAGCCCTGCAGATGTCCTGAATAGGGACATGAGCCACATAGGCCGCAGATGAGGCCTGGGCTCTTGTCGAATGC